CGGATAGTACGTAATAATTCGTCTTGTTTACTGTGGGTGAAATAACAAATTGCGCAATAAGCGTCTACTTGTTATTATTAATAGTACTGGTCATACACTCAATTTGTTTTGTGTTCATCCTAATGAACGTTTATAATGTACGATACATTTTAATATATTGTGTCTATCGGAATGAATCGAACATCATTCTGAAAAACACGATTATGTTGTAATATTTATGTAATATTCAAATCGTGTTACGTAATATGAATAGGGAGCTGTACCCTGAAAAATAGTTAAACACTGTAATAATTTTTTCAATGAAGCTCTTCCAATAATTACCACTCAATACGAGGGTATCGGAAATGAGAGAATTACTTTGAAGACTCGACCGGCTGCAAGGCATGGGTCCATAAAGAAGTACGATATTCGGTAATTTCATATAATTATTACTTTGACTCGAAAGAGGTTGTGTTGATCATCACTCGCATATGTGTCTAATGCGAATTGACAACAGTGTTGTTTGCCTTATTCATGTTTTGTGTTGGAGGTCATGATATGTGCTCCAAAGAAATGATTTTAACTACGCAATGTATTGATAAAACTAGAAAGATAAAACATTATCGACGACAAATCTTTTTTTTTATTTAGACTTTCAACAGAATAGCCATTGAATGAAATGAACTTGACATTGGACCAAACGGCTTGCCTAGCGAGATCATGTCTTCACCACAAACTCAATGGACTAAACTTATAAAAAATATACAAAATATTTTTAGTAAGTCGGAAGCTCGTTCGAAGTTTAAAGGTTTTGGGTCACAGTTATCAGGCTTTTACTTTTGTCGAGTTGATAAATACGAATATAGAATGAAAGGTCATGGGTGCAATAAACCGTAGATGACTTAAATCGGAAAGAGTTGTTGTAGAGACAGGTGTCGTCTCGCTCATCTACCGTGAAATCAACACATAGAACGCGGAAAGAAATCAAAGGCAGCATGCCTGTCAAGACGAGCGTGGAATCCCATTTTAGTTCCTGTTTATAAAATATTACGGTCAAACAAAGTGAGAAAAACGGCTTTCATGTATATTCTTCATCTTGACGAAATTGGAAATAGGCGATGTCACCTTGACAACAGTTTTCTTTTGTGTAGCGCAAACGATGTTCTCTACACGCGCTGCATACGTCGCACCGAGCACGACGTGGTAAACAACCATGACTGTGGCGCAGTAACAGAATAATTAGATAAAAAGTTCAGATTTCACTGCTACTGCGCTTCTCATCGAAGTCAATAAAAACGAGTGACGTTTACGGCTTTGTCGACTGTAAATTGTCAGCATTTAGTTAGATGCAATAAAAAGCACGAGTAGTAGATGAAATGGGTTACTTGAGTATTTTAGTTTAGATGGAATATGTTCACTAAAAACAGGCATGGGGTTGACATGTAAAATACATTTTCGCCGATTTGTCATAAAAAATATATAAACCATAAAAAATAACGATCTTCACTGAATTACAATTTTTGCTGATTTGTATTTAATAAATTCCACGGCATAAGGTATGGCGCTGGTATATGGTAAATATATACTATATATATGAACAATGAATTAACCTATTAACCTCATAATTATTCAGTGCAATTTACCTTTCCAATAAATCTAAATAAAACAAGTTATACCACGTGACCACCCTCAGTCGGGTGCAGCCGGGGGTATTAGTTCAACGTTACTGCGCATGCTCGATTCGTTGAACAGCGGTACAAAAACACTTCCTAACTTCTTCATGGGAACACCAGAATTATAATCACGTGGGAATTCGTGCTGTTCGAAAATCATTGACAAAAACAGAAAAAATAGGGGGGGGGTTATATCCCAGCACCAGTACCAACTTGTACAATAGCGCCGAGTCACGTGCATGGGCGGGACTAATCAATCAATTTGACGCCAGTGGAGAAGTTTACAGCCAATCAGAAATCAGAGTTGATTGCCTAGCAAACAATAGCTGGGTGTCATGTGACAAACTGAAGCTATTTCAACAAACAAACATGTTTCTTTTCGTATAAATTTACAAGACGATCAGTTCATAAAAACGTCGCTGTCGACCGGTAGTCATCAGCACTTCTGTTCGCCTTGCCACGGAACATCGCACAGACAAATATCCGCATCGAGACACTGCCAAGCGTTGCCACCTACACACTAAACTTTTTACGACTTGCGTATCGGTCTTTTGGCGATTATATAGTTAGTGTTCTTATCAACGCTTTGATTATCCCTCGATAATCGCACGGACACACGGCCACTCCGAGGGAAGCTTGTTCGCCTACTGCGTAAGTTATTGCACTGGCGTTTTATTCTTTCCGTGTTTTTGCCTTATCAATTAGAACTTATCGCAAGTTTTTTTATCTTGAAGCATTTTTTTACTAGCAGTTGGATTTACTCGACATCGTATCTTTCGTTTTTATGAAGGAAATCCCTCACTCGTTGATTAACTGGTCAGTTTTTTTGCGCTGGGTCATATGTTGGTCTGTTGGTGATGTGGCAAGGGCTACTTGTTTAACACCAGTTTACACAGGTTAAAGTCCGGGGTGTCTAACATACATTGTCCATGAGTAAACTATAAACTTTATATATTACTGTACCACAGAGTACGGGCATTTTACTTGACATCTTTGTAATATTTAGTCTACAACTACAAGATCGAAAACAACATTCAAGTCTGTGGGTGATATTAGCGGTAGAGAATGTCGCCGTTTGAGAATTTCCAACATCGTATTTTCACACCCACGGCAATAATCGGATCCTGGGTTCATTCACTTCAGCTGAAGCTAAAAAAATACATCGTGGAGCGATTTTTAAGCTTCAATACTGTTCTCATCAATTTAACAAACATCTCATTACATTTCAATGTTACTGCGTCCGCTATCAGAAAATTATAGACGTTCTTTCCTGCCTGACATTTTCTAGTTGTAATTCGTCAATGAAGGCATGTTCCAACTGATAACCCTATCCCAAACTATTCGGCTACTTAGGTCACAGCGTTGTAATGTTTCTCTAAATAACGAAGCGATGTGTGCCATGACGCGTTTAAAAGTTGTTATTCATTGTTGACGTGTTCCATATGTTTTGCTCAGTTATAAGTTTGCGCGTGGACTTCAACTTTTATCAAAGAACCAGGAAGCCACGCACACCGCACGTCGATTTCAGGCGAGTCCACTTTTATCAAACCTGTTCGCGTAACGTACTTATCATCTCCAGGTCAGATATCACTGAACGTCAGAGCTTCCACTATTACAATTTCGACATCCCTCTTAGGTACATGTTAAATAATTTGTATATTTTTAATTTAAAGGTTTGGGAATAGTTCTTACTCGAGCCGTTGAGTCTGTAGGACTGTAATTCACTTGATAATAGTGTGTCGGAACGAGGCGGTGTATTCCCAACATGTGTACGTTTGTCCAAGCATGACTTGTTGTAATTCTGTACGGTTTAATTCTCTTATATATCGATCAGTCAGCCAATTTTAATTTACTCTTGACACTGACAACTTTGTACGTGTTTTATTACAGAAACTAAAGTTACTGTCCGAGTCAGAAGTTTGAAGACGAACTTTTTGCAGTTTTGCTGTATATATGGATTCCTATGGAACTAAGTGACTCCCGCTGGGTTGGATCTGAATCACTCAAATCCTCACCGAATCCTCACCACCATCACCACCAAGTGGCAAATCAAGTCGAGACTGAATCAAGACAATCACCCGAGAACAATAATCAAGGAGTTCGACTCGGCAGCGGCCACAACGTAGAAGAACGTCTACACTCCACCGATCAAGAGAGTTCACCGCTGAGCGGAGAACAAGCGGGAGGCCGACAGGCGACTACCCGTGTTATGCAACACAGTAACCTCGGCCTATCATTAGCAGAGCCCAGTCAACTCCCTTCATCCGAAGACGTCGAAGTGTTCTTCAACCACCTCGAGCAACCCTCGGCATCACAGTCTTCACATAGTCACAACCATTCTACATCAATGTACCAAACCATGTCAATGCACGCTGCACCACCGACTTACGAGACGCCAACAACATTTATCCACACCGGAACGAGTCCGGTTTATGTGCCAACGACACGGGCGATGCCGTTACCCATGCACGCTGCCCCGTACCTCCAGGCCAACTCAGCGACGCCTCAATCACAGGCAAACAGTCATGCAGTCTGGTGTCCAAGTCAACCCGAGAGCGGATACACAACCCAAACCACGCATCCATCTCCAAGGTTCACCTTCCCACCTAGCCCACCTATCACGTCTACCGGTACTTTAGCAAGGCACAACGGCTTAAACCCATATGCTACGCCGTATGACATCCCGTGGACATCATTCCCAGATGGTACGGTACTTCACCCGAATGTTGGGAACAGACCAGGATCCGTGGTCCGGCGTACAAACTCAGGTAAATATATAAATTTATATTTTATTCTTAGAGTAAACGTGTAATAATGTAACAATTACATTGACGTATTTCGCTTATACTTGTTGAAAAAAAAAAGAAAAATAGCGAACAAAAAAAAAAATCGGAAATCAAAATTACAAAGTTTAGAAGACCGCGAAAACAATTAACACGTCTTTACAACATCACTGTAAATGTTTTTGGACCACTCTAAAAGCAACGAGTGGATTGTTTTGGTTGGGTATTAAAAGCCACAGGATGTCTGCAATCTTGGGAAGTCATACACAAAACACAACAGGAAAGATTAAGAAAACAATAGTCAAGAAAAACAAAAAACTGTTGTGTTAGGTGAACGAGGTTACTTTCAATATTTTTCCGAAATTATAAACGACTATGTGAACAGAAATTAAATATTGTGTATATATTCCACCAGATTCAGCCAACGCTGCCCGAAGTATATTTGTTGATAGCAGTAACCAGTTAGCGTATGCAGGTAAATAGTTCATTAATTTATTTTATTAAAATGTGTCTTCAAGTTTTTTATAACTTATATCTTAATACCGTTGTAAATCGTAATCTTAAAGCTAATAGACGTTGAAGGTACAAACATGTAAGCGGTCGGTCATGTTCTCATTGCTGGAGTCCGTTTATGTACAGATAAACGACCCCCTCCCGTCAAGGACCTTTCATCAAAAATTAATGTAAGCTTGTTTTTGGACACTTTTTCGGATTTCCTCATCTGGTCGATCAACACCGACGTCTTGATCGTAGACCACATGAGCCCATCGTCTTTCTTGTGAGATTTTAATTTTCTTTGTGCACAAGTTTTGATTTACTTTTTAAACTATACCCAACCCTCTTTTTTCTCGGTAGTTCTATGCAACACGTCACTATTACACGGTTGCGCGAAATGAAAAGGTATACAACTAGTTCAATATCTCATTATTGACAGGAAAAAATATCAAAAATACGTAATAAGTTAGGATAACATCGCAAAGGCTCGAAGTGCAATTTTGTTTCGATGATTAGTTCATTATATTCTCGCGATTACTAGTATCTGGTAATGCTCTTCGAAACATGCGGCGGGGGGGGGGGGGTCACATTAGATACAAGATATATCATGTATTGTATAGGCGTATTAGACAGGGCGCTGAGTGAGAGTACACACAAGGCAGTGCTATTAATTGCCTAATTGTCACATTTGATTATAATTACGACTTATGCGCCAACGTGGCCTGTGAAACTGACAAAGGTCTAGACAGCCGTGTTGAAAGATGGTTCCACGCTCGCCATATATGTTATTTTGACTTGATTTGTAAATAATTATATATTGTTGTAAAGTGTGACGGCAAATAGTCTAAACATGCACACACGGCTCGTGCACCTGTTAAAGTTGTATTCCCACTTTGCGTTATTTAAAAAACACTCCCAGCGATTATTCTGATCACCATAAAAATGTAAAAATCGGGAAGCTGTGGAGCTACTGTAAAACCATTCATATTCCCTGGTGTTTAACTAGTTTGATGTTTTGACCATTTTCACTGGGTTTACGTACTTGGCAGAGAAACAATAAGATTTATTCTTATTTGACAGTATTTACAGCAATTCTGCGTAATGTGGGCATACTTTCCATCGTTCTAATCACTTATAGTCACTCCTCGAATATAAAAAGCACTTCCAAATTTGGTTTCAGGATTCTGCTTGATTTGATGAGATTTCTTATGAACTGTATACAACCCAAAGCCCTTAAGATAAGTTTTCTACAGAATATGCAAAGATGGTATCCAACTCTTGATAAAAACGTGAAAGTGGCTGAAGTGAACTGAACAAAATAGCTTCGCTTCTAATAATAACGTTGCATGTAATCATTTTGGACGTTGGTGGCGCCGGAACTCATAAAAGTTCCCCGTCCCAAAACTGGGAACACATTTGCGCACAATTAAACGTCCATAAAACACACTAATGTGGCGTTTCGGAATTCCTAATGATCTTTAAGTTCCAATACAAGGCTGAAGCACTCATAAAAACAATAAATAAAATTAGAAAGCAACAACATTTGATTCAAATGTCTTCCAGACAAGGCCCACCAACAAAGGGAATAGGGCTAATTGTTGTCACGCGCCTGACACTTGGATGGGGAATGACCCCCCCCCCCCCACTGCAAATTAGGTCACAGTACTGACGGTGCCGGTGAGAGGGCCTAGACATGCTGGTTCACAGCAACACTTATCATCATGATATCATCGATATTAGTGTTATGTTTGCAGAAGAGAGACTCAAGTTTTTAGAAACCGCTGCTGTGTATATGTTTAGAACTTTGGGATGGATATGGATTTGATCGAGCCCACTTAATTCACTTTGTTTCTCTTTAAAGTACTAGTACATCCAATCAACCAGTTACCACGGTTACTAGTACATGTAACCGTGAATCAACTGATTATAAAACAGATATTCTATCAAAACTGCGAGTAGCTGATGAGAATGATCACGAATCATAAATGTAGTAATTTTAAAAAAACTACCGTATATTTTAGTAGAATAATTTTTATATAACGGTATATATACACTAACTACAAAGTATTTAAACCAGAAAACATATTTACGAGTACGAATTTCTATTTTTAATAGTTTTTTTTCAGTCAATTGATTCAAAGACGTGTTTTGAGTAGCTGCATCAGCACAGCGGGAGAAAAGCATGTCTTTGACGAATAATAACAAATTGAATAACAATCACCGGGTGATGAAAAAAAAGTATAATACATTAAGTTAGAATATTGCGGTTATTTTAGATTATTCGACTAACGTGTTTGCCAAAACATTTCAACGCGGAAAATACATCGGGGAGAACCGACCACTTCGGCAAACATATGACTAATTTCCTTTTTCTGATAGGCGACCCCGGACAAATCGATATGACCTTTCTCCAATGTTTTCTTTTGTTGAAATTAATGAACAGGATGACGATATAAAGGATATTTTGCAGACAAAACTCACGGGAATGATTAAAACATGAAAGCTCTCCGAAGAACAGTGACGCCCAAAATGCACTAGCCAGTGTAGCGTCCAGTTCGTAATGAAATGAAACTTCCGGTATATTGCTCAAGCCCGGACGTAAAATACTGCCAGTTGCGAAAGATAGGCCGCTTATTCCAGCATTCAGTTAACGCTAAAAGCCAATTTCAAATACAAAACAATTTCTTACATGTAAAAAATTGTCATCTGAGAAGTCTTGATATGATTTGATCTTGCCTTTTTTTTGAGCGAGTTCCGAGTCGTTGTACTGAATGGGTCGCCTGTTGTGACTTCATAAACAAGAGGCTGATTTGACACTTTTGGAATATTTATGGCGTGGGGAAGAGTTTTAATTAAATGGTATTCGATAAGAACATAATGACCTGTGACGACCGCCCAGTTCATTTTAAATAACATCGAAACCTGGGAACCTGATTTGCGCGCTATGATCGACAGATCGGTTCCGATTTCACCACACTGGAGGCTGCGTCTACAATTTCGTCTTTTTTGGGCCTAATTCCCCAACGAATACTCACAAATCCTGTTACACCAGCCCCTTGCCCCGACTTCATAAATCAACGTACCAATATCTGCAAGACGTTATTTAATTATCTTGATCTTTGTGGGTGACATTTGAAAATAGTTTGGTCTCAAATTAGAAAGTCTGTCGTCTGCAAACAACACTGCATTCCCCACAGTGAGCACGGGGTGTTATTAATTTTTAGTACAATGTTAAATGTCGCTTATTCCCTTGTAAGTTATGTGAAAATAAAACATTTACTCTGTTTAAGTCAAAAACACTAGCTGCACCCGGTGAAAATCACTCACCTTTCGGGACTAAAACCTCTCTGCTGGCCTGCCCACGTGATCATAAAAGCGTACCGCTAAGTTGGATCTGCTAGAACACTCGAGTGGCGGCTATCCGCGGCTGGCACACGACTAATCCATCCCCAATTTTAGACACATGATAGATAGCGGACAAGTGTCCAAGTTGTCTCCTGTCAATTTATAACAAACAATCAGTTTGTAACACGATGAATTTATGGCAATCCAATTGTACGAGTTTCATTCAATATTTACCCTAAGGTACTACTAAGAAAGACACTACCTTATCTACGTTTATAAATAAACAGCTGATTCTGCAGTATTATTGTTTTTTCAAAGTGGTCGTCGTTTTCACTTTTCTACATGATGTTTACACATTTATAAACAAGTGGCGCGTGGGCAAGTACTACTTATATGTCATATGTTAAAAACATTTTGGATGGCTCAAACACTTTCAAGGGCCCAGAGTCTGGTTAATTTGTTTTCCAAAACCGATGCTCACTCACTTTTTTCATTTTCTAATTGTAATACTGTCATAACAAGTGTGCTGAAAATTCAATAATTCTATTTTTTTTTTCTAAGATCTGATAACAAAAAACTACAACGCGCAAATGTTTGGTAGAGTGAATAAATTACAGTCGCCGAGCAGCGCGCGCGCAAAATAATATGTTTTACTCGGGTGATATACGTTGCATGGGCCCATATTGAATGCACGTGGTTCGACGACTGAGTCATTTAACTTTCGCATATATTTAGTCGCCTAGTTACAACATAGCTATACTAGATAAAGTTCAATGTTCAAGACGTGTAGGTACGTAACAAAGTAATCCAAGATATTAAAGTAAATTCGTGTGTAAACAAATAGGTGAATTTTGTAAACACTTGCAACTTCCGACAGAATCCTAATACAAGTAAATAAATGGGTGTTTTAATATTAAATTAATCTGAGCAACGGAAATATTATCGGGTTGAGTTGGGCGGGTGGCGGTCTGTAATTGTCCGACACTGAAGCCACTCGCATGAAAACCACGTCTATGGAGTTATCTTTTTAGCTTCACGAGTAGTCGACATAAGACTATGTAGCAAATTGCGTTGAATTTTCTGTTTAAAATAAATAATATCTCGCCGGCTGTTTTTATAATTATAAACTCGGCATAGATATTAAGCGGTTGATAGCGGGCTTATGTGTAGTTTTACACTGTGCTTTCTGCGACACTCCCGTGCAGATGCCGATGATAAGACGGCCGGATAGTTGTACAAGCAAGCACCTGTATTTTTTCCCATCGTTGCACCAGGAAAACCTGTTAATATTGCATGCGAACATAACTCGGACATGTCTTCTCCTTCGCGGTCGAGAAACGGAACGCTGTCTCTGAATACCGATAAGCCCAAAACAGGTTTACGTTCACACGGTGTTTAAATAAGTTTCGGGTTCGTTGCAATACAAATAACGGAGACTAAATCCACGGAGTTGTTTTGACGATGGAGTAACCTCATAGCGATAAACTTTTTAGATACCTCAGTTGAAGCGATACAAAAATCGATATGGTTCAATGTCTGTTGGCGGATTTTTTTTCTCCCCGATGACGCGCAAAATGACGTTACCTGTCATAGTGTGAACAATTACGAATAAAGCTGTTTTCTAAACACCATAGACGAAAAGAAGTCAAACATCATCAGAATATTCTGGCAATTTAACACACCATAGATTTTCTTCCCACCTGCTTTGGCATTAGAACATTTAATGGTGTCCTCTTTTGTGTGGGCAATTACGCTCTCACTTGACTCCGTATATCTCTTCCAATGCAGTTGTCATATTATAGCATGGCTTTGTTATTGATTCACGAACACTATGCATTTCTCTATGGCACACTCAAGCTGACACTTATTCAACAATCGAAATCATTCAATATCAAAGAAAGAATGGAGAGTCCACGCTCTCTAAAATGAATTGAACCTACCAAGTATATTATTGTCTTTGCTCGTACATACAGGCAGCTGGTTTTATCATACTCGTGTGTAGAAATAACACTTAATTTAAAAGTATTTTTGAGAACTCTTGACATGGATAGCACAAAATCGACTGTAAGCTGAGGGTTTACTTAAACATGTCACATAATTGTGTTATTTTGCCTGAGGGATGGAGAGATCGATAAAAGGCTTTCCGGGGACGGGGCTTACGTGAAAAACTTACTCAGTAATGGCAAATGAAATCGGGTAGTATAATAATAAATATTTCCAGATGGCATCGACTAGAAATGTGACATCAATTAAAATTTATCCAAGTAAAAATAACGCATAAAATTGCTGAATATTGTGTCCGATTTTGACGCAATTCACAGAGCCACCGTCTGGAGTGGGAAGTAGGATTACTTTCTCTTCACGGAAAACACATCTTGTTTGCTCTGCACTTAGGACAAACTCACTTCAGTGAACTTTTCATCTTTCTGTTTTGCAAAACAAAAAGTACGAAATTTTCAAACAATGGTGTAAACATATTGCCTGATTTAGAATGACCCCATTGTTTCCACAAAGTAATTTGCAAAACATTATATCACATGTTTTGTATCAAATCAAAGGTTGAACGGACGGTCTTATGAAAAAAATATAAACCAATTTCACATTAGAACCAAATTTCACTCTGTTATTATTAAAATAAAAAATATATTGATAACAGTTTTTGTTTGTACTTAAAAAAAGTGATGTAAAAACAACTAGTGACATGTAACACTGTCCATCTGTCCGGGCATTGAATGATATATACCAACATGAGATGAATAATTATATCCGCACACTACTAGTATTTCTGTAAAAAAAAATTGTTTATTTCACACAGAAACAAAATCTCCCTCCTCAAAATCTTCGTCAGTGCAATCATGAGAGATTGACCAACTCAAATCCGGGGGGGGGGGGTAATTATTTTCACTCACAACAGTGATGTGAAATCATAGTATATTGATGAAACATTTGCAAGTGTCTTATGTGCTGAGGTTTCTTAATCTGTTTTTTTCACAACTCCAAGCATTCCCTCAGGATTTCAAAAACTTCAAACCCTTTATTCTATGCTATTGTTGACAAAGAGCCATTGCTCAAAATTTTGAGTAGTTACTTAAGACAATGATTATCAAATACATGTATAATCTAAAATATAACCCTAAGAAACAATAGGTTTCACATTCATAAAAGTTTAAAAGTATGACTTTGTATTAACTTAATATTTTCAACGAGAAACCAAAGATTGTGGCCCATGATCCTATGGTGCAATCCCAGTGAATGCCATATGCCCCTTGAAAACAGCAGCAGATAACCCCCCTGTTTGAGATGAAACCTGCTAGAGTACTTTATGTGCACAAATCCCTAAGTGACAAATAGACAAACTTAAAAATAAAATGCATATAGCGATGTTGGTGGAAAATCAATTCGTGTTCAATTAACGTGTACTAATGGAGGCTTGTAGTGGGCACATTTTCTATAGCGCAGCGAGCAACGTTAGTTCAGATGGCGCACCTGCCATACGACTATGCTGTAAAGGAGTGAGAGAAAAGCAAGTGATTTCTTCATCAGCTAGTTTAACCAGAGATAAGCATTTGTATGTGTATACCACTCTTAAGTAGATAATCTCTGCTGGCTATAGAAGTGTCTTAATATATTCTTACCATCTTCCGCCTTTGATTGATAGAAAAAGATTCCCAGTTTTCCGCGGACTTGAATTTTAAAATAGATTTGAGGAGAGCCAGTTTTGTTGTACAATTTCTAAGCCTATAAACCATATATGAGAAGATGAGATTATTACACAACAGCCACAATATAAATATTGTTTATATACGCTTTATGGACAATTATCACTTAATTTTTTGTGATTTTTTTAAAACTTTCTCAGAAATAGATTAGGATTACATGTGTTCATTTGATACGACAAACTTTTTTGCATAATTCTGGAATATGTATACAGTAGGAAAATCTATTACAGGAAGGTGATTGTTGTGTCGTGTCAAGTTTGCTGTGGTTCATAGCAACACATATAATGTATACCGTTTTAATATTAGCTGCTTGATTTTCATAATTTTATTTTATTGCATCTGTGAATACAAAACTTTGTGAAGATCATTAACACTCTGGGACTGCAGAGAAAATGTCACTGCTACAAATTGTCTTTAACAAAATTAAAGTTGTTTACAATATGTGTAAAATACAATTCGAAAACGCTTTTGTTTTCCCCAATGTATTTTGTCACTTTTTATCTTCATGGTCACCATGGCAACCAGTGATGGGAAGTTCTGTTTACAGTTTGTTTTTTTACAACAAGAACTATTCTATATTGTGATATAGATTTTTCATCTTTTCCTGCAGAGGGCAGAGAGTGTGTCAACTGCGGTGCAATGTCAACCCCGCTTTGGCGACGTGACGGCACCGGTCATTACCTGTGTAATGCATGTGGATTATACCATAAGATGAATGGTATGAATCGTCCACTGATCAAACCACAGCGTAGACTGGTAAGTGACGAAAAAGACCCACGTGCCTATACACAACATCAGGTAACCAATCAAAACCAGTGAAACTTTCGGTTCAGTGTTTTCTAGCTTTCAGACGTTGCTCCCTCACATTGTCAATGCCTGTAACTGCTGGTTTCCTAGAGTACACCTTAAGAGTACATTCTTTTTTCACTGGGCCCCCTAGCTCAGTGAAAATAATTACAACTTAGCCTCACTCTGCATGGACCAATCAAAATCACATTATATGTATAATGTAGTTAATGGCAATGTGAGATGCGGTCTGGCTGATGTTTGGTTAAGCTTTATTTAAAACCATATTAATCACATTTTTTATTGAAAAAATTTTGTTTAGCATAAGAGCCAGGATACACTGAAACGCAAAGACTTGAGGTCGTAATTTAGTCCAAACAGTCATATTGTTTCCATAGATATGTACTGTCCTACCATTCAGTCTCTTTTTTTCACCACTTCGGTCTTGTGTTTTATAGGCCTCATGCATGTCCCCTAAAAGTCACACATCCTGGTACTTTGCATGATCTAAAGGTCACACATCCTGGTTCTTTGTATGACCCCAATAGGTCAGACATCCTGGTACATTCTGGGGGTATTGTATGTCAGTATTAGTTACCAATATTACCTAAAAATGTTTAACAGTATTGGAACTTCAATAACAATTGATTGTATTATTGGGGAAAATAATTTAGAAATTCTCATTAACAGTGAACTTGTTCCCCTAAAAAGTACCAGGATGTGTGGGCTTTTGGAGGTCATGCATAAACACCTGTTGTTGCAAACACCCTATGTAACCTACTATTTTTTTACACTGAAAAAATAAAGTTCATTCATTCAATATTAGACCCAGGAGAGAGCTGAAGCATTTGGTTTCATTTTAGTTACTCTCTTTCTGGCTGAACAACATTGCAACCTCATCACTGATTGGTCACTTTTACTTTATTTATGTAAATGTATGACCAATCAGGATGGACTATGCAAAGTGCTTCAGTTTAATCTCAAACACTAAGCTTTGACATTTGATTGTTAAAGCGAGAGAGTCGTCACCTGCACATATGTCCGATGGCCATAGCGTGTCATTGTTTACAAACAAGCGTCTACCCATGAGCCTTTGCGTTTTTAGAGTGTGTTGTTATTGTCGCTTGGGACTCAATTCCCGCACGTGCTCAGGTGACGACTCTCTTACTTTAATATTACTGTTTTGTTATTAATTTGTATGGTACATGTTGCAGTTTTGCTGCTTTTTACTGCTTCATGTTGTGGTTCTGCTGTTTCCAACTGCTGCATGTTGTAGTGCCCGCTGTTCCCTACTGCTGCATTTTTCGGTACTGCTGCATGTTGTAGTGCCCGCTGTTTCCTACTGCTGGATTTTTCGGTACTGCTGCATGTTGTAGTGCCCGCTGTTCCCTACTGCTGAATTTTTCGGTACTGCTGCATGTTGCAGTGCCAGCTGTTCCCTACTGCTGAATTTTTCGGTACTGCTGCATGTTGTAGTGCCCGCTGTTCCTTACTGCTGCATATTTCGTTACTGCTGCACTTTACTACTGCATGCTGCGGGTGTTCTGCATGAGAACATACTCACTGCTTTGCTATGCTATGCTGCGTTCATATATTTTTCATTTTCATGTCGTACGTCCTTCCTGACGTGGGCAGGCTGAGCAAAAAACTTAACAATGCTAATGATGTAAAAAAAATGCTTAAATCATGCTTTTGTGCAGATGGATTGCTTTACTAACTTCTGCTTGTTTGGCTTGATGTTACTTGAAATCTACGGATTTAGGAATTAAATACGAGGGAAGTTTTTCTTTTTTCTTTTTTACCTTTTTTTTCAATGGGCGAGTAAATTGACAACATTTCTTTTGTTGTTTCTTCAGTCTGCATCACGTCGGGTAGGTCTTCAGTGCGCCAACTGTCATACGACACAAACAACACTATGGCGCCGAAATAACGAAGGTGAACCAGTGTGCAATGCATGCGGACTGTATTTCAAGCTTCACTCGGTACGTAACTTTGCTATTTATATTTTTATGTGTTTTTCTTCTTCTTGCCCAGTCTGGCTCTCGTCATGAGGGTATATCTTGCTCCAACTGTGGTACTACTGTAACTACATTGTGGCGTAGGAATAACGATGGTGAACCTGTGTGTAATGCCTGCGGCCTTTACTTCAAACAGCACAAAGTATGTATCCATAAACCATACTATATCAATGTCATTAATAGAGAAAATTAATCAGGAAATTTTCAGTAATTAATAACTAAATAATTAAAATTTACTCATAAAATAATCACCACCTTCAGTTGAAAACTTGAAATGTCACAATCATTGTGTGGTGCACATTTGAACATTGTGTAAACAAATGACGTATGAGCATCATTCTTTAGGTTGCATGGGACCCACTCTCTTCTTATGTAACTTTGTTGAGCAATATTCACATTAAGATTTCAGTGGAAAACAAATGCAGCACAAATATTCAGGGCTGTTCTGCTCCCATGGCAACAAAACATGGAGCTTTTAGACAAACATATTACAGGCATGATGCTTTCACAGGATTTTTGTGACTTTTCATGGAAAATTTGTCCATATTTTTTTTTTTAAAAATTGTCATCAAGACCTGTAACTAATGGGGAAACTAAGTCCATTTGGTGAAAAAAAAGAAGAAATTATAGGGAAAAAATATAATAATGTGCAAAATGTTACATTAACTATTAGGCAGGAAAATCTATGTGTAAAAAACGGGAAAGGAGTTTGTGAAATAAAAAAAGTATAGAATTCAGATTCTGAAAGATTCATTGTATATAAGTTTCTTAAATTTTATTTTCTGGCTATTTGTTACTATAAATTTAAGTAATTTCAGGATTTTATGGCATCTTAAAAAATAAAATTTTGTAAAAGTCTCTGACACTCCATGTTGTAGCACCCAAGAGAATTTTTAACTACGACAAAAGTCGATCACTGACTTGCGAAAATTGGTCTTTTGCGAAATAAAAACGCTTTACAGTTTGACGGTCTTACATTTGAGGACACATTATAAAAATAATATTAACAAATCAACACACTTAGGCAAGTTTGTTATTTTATTACTTATTATCATAAAATGATACATTTGCGATAAAATATGAAAATGTGACATTGTGAAGTACAGTAGGAGACGAAGTGTTATCTAAAGTAGATAAAGTAAAATGATTTACGATATAGAATATCTTGTCAAATGATAATGCAAACATACTCGATGCACTAAAGTAACTTTATCCTTTCACTTTTCCTGCTTCCGCTTCTTCTTTTGAACATTAACATTTGGCACATTTTTTATGTATAGTAAAAGTTAGGAAGGTTTCTGTTGTGACAAAAGTTGACTTTGGCATTCCAAGGTCAAAGGTCAACATGGTTTGTAGTAAAAGGTAGTTTATCTCACCCAGACATGATTATATAAAACTTAAATAATAGTTAAAAACAATGATCAAATTTCAATTTTTCTTTGTAAATAAAATATAAAACGGTCAGGTTTATTATTAAAATAGGTGATGTTTGATAAAAGCCTTGAAGTTAAAAAAAAAATGTTTTTTTAGAAAGTTTTCAAAAAAAATAAATTATCTGACATGAAATTCAATGTAAGGCTAACATAAGATTTGAATCCTCATTATTGAAAAATAATTTCTGTGTAAGAGTCTGTCAAAACTGGTTTGTTGCATGTCGGTTTACGATACGACATGATACAACACACTAGGCTATAAATACACAACAATCCGTCATTAGAAATGCAAAGAACTCGCCTCAACTCTGATATTTTCGCTTTTTCCATCACTATGTCAAAATCGGAGGAATTTGATCGGAGCCATTTAGATAACTATTTTGAAGGACGAACTGATAACATTTTAACATTACACATTTTCTGTGATCTCGGCTCACTATATCATAAAATTCCAGGTCAATACGGGGGTTATCTGCTAAAATGATAACAAACAAGGGTAAAGATTACCATATACTCTTGTTCTTTTTTGATTATCTTCTGTATTGATTCTATTAGTAGTGATTGCCTTGGATTTATATGCTTTCCAAGACCTCTACAAACAAATAATGCCCAATGAACGTAATCCCATTCATCGTCCGCCTGCACGGTGTTGTTACGTTCGTACATTCTTAGTGGAGTGCTTTGCCGGAACATTCACTATGAAAATTCAAGATGCACTCATTTGGCAAGTCACTTTTTTTGGTTGGAAAGCAAACAGGAATAAAAATTAATATTTTCTGAAAAAAAAGACTGATGATGATAATCAGTAAACGTTATGTATTTTTTGAGGAAATATGATAGAAAAGCACAAATCGGATCATGACAGTCTGTTTAATTTGTTTACATTGAAATCAAAATATTCATAATTTAGATTTTGCCATTTCCACAACAAAACAATTTTTTTTTATTTCATACTACTTCCTGTCTCTGCTTGATAAAATTTTTTAGTGGGTCTTTTTAAAATTGTATCATAATATCAAAACCTGTAGGTTCTATTGGTCCAAAATTAATAAAGAAATTATAGAAAAACAAGGGAAATGATGGGTCTAGTATTCTATTTCTTAAATCATGTGTTTTTGAAATAAACAAGTTAAAATGATCATTGTGTTAGTTTCCTTTCAAAAACTAGGACATTTTTCCGCGATTGCACAACAAATCAAATTCACAGCTGACAGAAAATCAAAATCTTACTTTATGAGTGAGACTAGAAAGCGAAAAAATGTCTGAATCCTTCTCTACTGCCAGCAATCCCTTAAATCTTGCGTGGTTGGAATTCCTTCAAACTTGAAATGACTTTATTGGGTGCAACTGGAAACTGTTGAATCATTACATGTGTCTACCATAGGACACACTGTGTTTATTTATCTTGTTTGCTTAACAGGAACATAGAAGGCAATAAAACGGTGACTTATTGATGTCTAATATATCAAGTTGTAATAAAAATGTCAAATTAGAAAATGCCTTGTCCCATTAGGAAGAGTGTTTAGCTGTTTTAGTAGTTTTTCCATAGGCTGTCTTTAAACATTCCAACTTCAATATGATCCATTTAAATACAAATGTTTTAAATAATGTATTTTTGTGGTTATTTCTTTTTATTCACTCCATGTGGAAATTTACATACCCGTTCATGACATGAACCCCTAAAACATTGGGGTGAGCGCAGTTCTTGGAATGGAAATTATTTCATGTAAATGGTGTCAAATTTCCTTGAAAACTTACTACTGTAGAATACTTTATTTTCGCTTGGAATTTATTTTCGCTGAAGGGATGATTCCGTGAAAATAAAATCTAGCGAATATACTTTTTTCCCTGTATTTCACATAATACTCATCCAAAATCAGTGAAAATAAATTCCATACAAAACGCCCAAAAAGCCTTTTCAGCGAAAATTAATTCCAGCGAAAATAAAGTATTCCACAGTATTACCAGTTTTATTGTTGTACATTATTGATGCCTGCCCATCGTAAAAGTTGAGTAAGTTACTGGCTATATGGCAGACTCCACCCTGTTTGATCAGTCTTCTTAGACGTGGGTGTGGCTGATTCACAAATCAAGCAAAAAGCCATGGGAATATTCAGTGTTGGAATGTACCTGGAATTCTTTCACTCCAAGGGGTTTGAAAACAAAGCGAAAAGAGAAACAGACATTTTCCCATACTGGGCTGCAGATGAAATATGGGGGCGTCCTGATCTTAGTCACCCTCTTAACTCTAATCTGTCAGACGGACGATCACCATGTTCCCTCTACAAGAGAAATACGATGTCCAATTTGGACCAAAATCAGAACAACATCAGACTCAAACAAAAGGAGTTAATTAAATTGTAAGAAAACTCCGCCAAGTCATGTCGGGTATCGTAAACTAAGTGTTGGGTTTAATGCTCTGTGATTTTTGCATCGATGTGTTATTGGCTCCGCTCTCAAATACTAGTACTATAGAATACTAATACTATAAAGCCAGTTATTCTCACTGGCATATAATTTCACTACTGTAAAATACTTTATTTTCGCATAGAATTAATTTTCGCTGAAGGAATGATTCAGTGAAAATAAAATCCAGCGAATATACCTTTTTTCCTATATTTTACATTTAACTCATCCAAAATCAGTGAAAATAAATTCTGTACAAAACACCCAAAAAGTCTTTTCAGCAAAAATTAATTCCAGCTAAAATAAATTATTTCACAGTATTTTGAAGCTTTGAGTAATTTCACAAAAATAAGATTAATGTATCGGTGAAACAGCTAATAAACTTAACCATTGTCATCTTCTAGTAAATTATATTTTTTTAATTATCTTGTGATTTTTAAGAAGCAATGATAAGGAATGGTGTGCCTGATAGTTTCAAGAAAAAACTAGCGTTAATCCTACAATCCAATAAATAATATAGTTGTACAGTACAAATATAAAACACCTCATATCTTTGTCTTGAAACTTTGACACCCCCCACCCATTTCCAATGAATCACCCCTAACTTTTTTACATACAAAACCTCTGAAGACATTTATTAAATTTCCTGGCAACCATGGTGGTAATATGGTGTCATGGCAACATCAGCATATTAGTAAGAGAACTTAAAAACTCATTATCATATGACAATTGCCTATCAGGCTGTTTTCACTTAAGACTGCTGAGAAGTTTTCTCCCCATAGCACGCTTCGATGACTTTTTTACAGTTTACAGATGGAATAGTTAGCATTTATCGATTGCAATAAACTATCCTACCATGTGGAGAAGATAATCTTGAATCACAAAATGTCGTTAAACAACAACTCAGGCATACTGTCTGTCCCAATCAATGTTTCCAGACAATTATCCCTGGCACGTGACTGGGACCAATGACTATTAAATTATATCTCTTTATTAAAAACCAACAGACTGTAGCTTACAGCAGTCAAAACAATTCACTTTGTAATTACATTTTGTTAAAAGTTCACTGACTATCATCGGCATGGCTATTTATACACACTATGTCACTGAAACTTAGCACTTGTGAGAATATCAGGAACGACAGTACAAATTTGATTCTTGATTCGTTGGAGTGGGAGTAGGACTGGTGCATGGTTAGGGATGGACCAATTGAATAATTGGGGGGGGGGGTTAGCTACAAAGCATACTGTGTTACACTATAGACAGTATAGTACTATACTGTTTATAGTTAAACCTTTTTCTTTTCTGAATGTCAAGAATTATTACCAAATTAAGTCCTTTTGTTGATTGATAAATTGATAAAAATAACTTTAATCATTTTTATGCTTTTCTTTGTTGAGAGATTTCTCACTCAGCCTTCGTGAACTTTTGAATAAAAATTAAAAGTTGACTTTACAATTTTATTCATTAATGTGAGTCTCTATTACTCTGGCTATTTTTTTGTCAAAAGAGTGAATTTTTTCTTGTAGTGGTTTTGTTGTGCAGTCTACACCGAGATTAAATAAACAAGGTCAGCAACACCAAATTTACACCTCATTATTGAACTCTCCCATAATTTCTGTACATTTTCTTGTTGAAATACAAGTTCATAAAAGTTGCACCTGTTGAAGAGTGATGTCGTAAACCACTCAAACAACCCTCCCATCCACTTATGTGGCTGCAATTTGGGAGAAAACACCAGTTTATAGCTTTCTATTTTTGAGGGTCATAGTAACTGTTTACAGAAAGGGCAAAATGCTATAAAAATGTCAAAAGTGAATTTACATCTGTTGGTTCAGTTTCGACAGGTGCAGTATAAATGTCATTATAGAATGGCAAACCGAGGATAATTACAGACTCAAGGAGACTGCGCTAAAATATTGTATGTTTGGACTTGTATTAGCAAATTTAACTTGCAATTTCTGAGTAGCCTTTGTTCTACGGTGGTACAGGGTGTAGCCAATTTTGCGTAAACAAAAAACAGGTTATGATCATAACTCTCCACAGAAAGTATGTCAATATGGGGAGAAAGGGGAGGGGTCATAAAGTTATTTGGCAAAAGTTGTGATTAGGGAGGTGAGGCGAGGGTTGAAAAAGTTGATGGATGTATTTGAAGTCGAAGGAGTTTTGTCACTTTCATGAAAAATCGTCAAATCATGTTTGTAGCCTCAAAAATATATACTTGTAGTTGAGATGATTATTGGTAATTTTTCGTTGATTACATATACCGTAACACCTGTAACTTTTTCAATGAAATTTACCACATGATAAGTAGGTTACAGGTTACCATGGTTACTTCGTAGCTGGTTTCAAATAGATTACATAATACATGACACATCAGTGATCTTATGAATGAGATTTTAAAATCTCTGCATTAAGATTAGCATGGATGTGTTCATTTAGGTTTGAACATGGAAGGTACTAACGGAAGGAGCCACGACGCCTCTCAAGTGGCCACTTAAGCTTCTTAACAGGCTTATTTTCTTTTGTTTCAACCCAAGTTAATCCTGATGAAGACATTGTCTAGCTCATCTTTGATGTCCATGATAGTTTGCGATTGTTTACACAAGTAACGAGTTAGCGGAATATGATACAACCCCGCCGATTTTTAAATGTGACCACAAAATATATGCGCATTATGAAACTACGGTTATCATACATGCGCACTCGGTTGGTTTAGGTGTGAAAGGTCAAAATATGTATTTCACAACCGGAAATTCAACAAATTAACGTTTGACTTTACAGATTTCACATGTTTTAGTTATTAGCAACTATAACAAGAACAAGATTTCGAGTGTCTACAACAAAAATTTCTAAGGACTCCTACAAAATATTATCACAGAGAAAGTGTCTAGGCATGCCCTTCTTTTGATACTATTTTTTCTGGTGGTGTTCGCCTATGCCCGGTGGTCGAAAATTTCAATAGTTTCGGGCGTCAAACCCACGCAATCACAATGGTTCTATTGAATAATGCAGTCGTTATTATCACAGGCAATCATTGATTAAGTCTCATCACCGTTACGAATACAAAAAATATTCACGATAGTTCATCAGTTCTTCTCCAATTGATGTTATGTCTGCTAATTTTTCATTAAAGTACGCCAAGATCTCCGGAAACAACAGCATTCAAACTAGACGGCATTTTCAGCATTTTACATGCGAGGTTCGTCTATCGCTTCCGAACATGCTCCGAATATCACCGAATGCTCGAGACTAGCATAACCTATTGTACGGAGGTGTTAAGAGCTAACAGAACCAATGTTTGTGAACAAACATTGACAAACGATCATGGGGCAAAGCTAAAACAATAGCGTCGTGGCTCCTTCCGTTAGTACCTTGCATGGTTTGAATAGGTGATTTTCCGAACAATTGCGAGATCTCGCGAGATGCATGAAAGACGCGCGTCGAACGGCTGCCGCAAAAATCGAACGATTTGATTTTGAACTAGAATTTCTTTATTTCGCAGCTTACATTGACCGGCCGATCTTCGACAGAGGAATATTGCTTCCAAATACCCTCACTTAATCGAAATTGCCTATCATCAAATGTGGACAGCACATTATTAAGCATGGAAATGTCCCCGAAATACTTTCGCGTTTGTCGAATCCCACGCGATGTTTGACGCGACTACGACGCTATGACCTTTGTTTGTCCTGTTTATACGTTCGATTTCACGCATAACGCGTGATTCTCGCAGTGAACGGAAAATGGTCTATTGGTGTACCCTTTGTGTATTATTTGTTTGACATTTACACCAATTTCTTAGTGGTCATGCAGAAATTAAGGACGGTGGTTGTCGTGCGAGATCACGTTCGATATAGGACCCATCGTAACGTAAACAACACATGTAAAACACATTGTTTGTTTAAAGTGCGGTTGTCGTCGCGCAGCGCATGTTAAAATTTCGTGTAAGTAAACAATGTATTTTGCACATGTTGTATACGTCGCTATGAGTCCCATATCAAACAGAACGCGGCACGACGACTGCCGCCCTTTAACCAAATCCTAACACGTGCTGCGAGACAAACACTGCCCTTTAAAAATGGTGTTTGTTGCAATGTCTCATGTTCGATATAGGACGTATGTAATGTATACCTTGTAATTAAGTTAAAATATATTGTTTACACGGTATTTGAACGTACTCTGCCAGAAACCAACACCTTATAACTGATTAATTATCAAGAATATGGGGTAACACAGAAAGTCTGACAAGGATAGTATAATAAGGTTAGATGGGAAAACAACTAATGGCTAACATGTGGTTTATTTGTGCATTTCAGGTGAACCGACCTCTTGCCCTCAAGAAAGACACTATCCAGACACGAAAGCGTAAACCCAAGAACACTAACAGTGACAAGAATGGCAACCAAAACATGGATGACAAGTCTAATATAGGCTTATCAACAAACAGCTCGAGTTCTATACCAGTGTCTACAATTAAAAAGGTATACCGTAGTTGTATTTTTACTCATATTAAAGCATTGAACCTAGTACCAGTAATCTGTATTTTGGATTGAATTTATCTGCGGTCTAGGTAATTAATAATTAATAATCTAATGATTTAAGCTAAAGCAGTTACTATTTGTCACTTTATAAAGAACAATGAAGATTTCTTTTTTTGATAAATCTTTTATATTCTTTGTAAGTAAACAAAATGTCATGTCATCATATATACTGTGAAATACTTTATTTTAGCTGGAATTAATTTTTGCTGGAAAGACTTTCGGTGTTTTGTTTGGAATTTATTTTCACTGATTTTTTCGACGAGTTAAATGTAAAATATATGAAAAAAGGTATATTCGCTGGATTTATTTTCACTAAATCATTCTTTTAGCCAAAATAGCAAAAATAAAGTATTTTACAGTTTATGTCACTTTATAAACTGTAATAAAAATTTTCTTTCAGGCTTATTTTCTCAATGGATCTTTTATATTCCTTGTAAGAAAACTGAAATCTGATATCTGGCATTTTTTATCCAGAATTGCTTATTAAGTTTTTGCTTTATTTCAGGAGCCAATGTATGTTCCATCTACCATGGCATCAACACTATTGACAACCAACGCCCTGACGGCTTTGAATAGTCAACACCACAGCAGTATGATAATGTCACCAACTCATGCACTGAATCTGACAACTCCAGAACCAAGCCCAAATCTACAAACCAGTACGAACATCTTCCACACCGGTGTGAGTCCGTCACCTCCATCTGCTGTGGCTGTGTCTCTTGACAACAACTAGGAATATCTACTAGCTATGTCGGGGAAAAAGAAACACAGTACTCTATATGTTCAACAATACTTTTGAAATGAATGGAAGCAAAAAAACTGAAAGTGAATGGTGGAAAATGAAATGATATGAGTTATGATGATGACATTATAGGAATGATCCTAATTTGTTGCGATGGAAACAGTTAGATGAACTTTTAGGTTGAAACAGACTGAAAAATTAATTGTTTTTCATTTTAAGGTTGTAAGAGTAAGATTGAGTAAATTCTCTTACACAACCAAATATTTCTTATCTATCAGAGATACTGAATTGTCTCTGCTTGAAAACAACTCAGACACTCCTAAGAACACATTGATATTTTAAAATTCCTATAATATTGATACTTGATCCATTTCCGTGGTAACAGACCATCACTTTCTGAGATGAATCAAGTGCACTCCAAAGAAATAAGAGTAGGGTCAGAAATGACCCAGAACTAATGATTATAGGAGGGACTATTTTATGAGCAATAATTCTTCTGATAATGTTGCTGATGTGTTTATGGTTTCCACCACCATCGTGGGGTGGTCACTCAGATTTATTCAATTGAAAACAAATGTTCTGGCAATGTTTCAATTGACTTTTCTTATTTGAATTTCTATTACCGTAATATTCCTGCCTGTCATCTTGAATGGTTGAACCAATCAGTATGTTTTACTAAATGGACCAATCACATTATGTTTCTCTAATGGACCAATCACAGCATGTTTCACTAAATGGGCCAATCACAACATGTTTTACTAAATGAACCAATCATAGTGATCAGACGAAGTTTGTACTTATTATCAACACAATTCTTGTTGTTAATTCAACCTTCAAGTCACATTTTGCAAGTGTGCGATGAATTACTTTGTTGTCTGGTAACAGACACTGTCATCGCCAGCCGCCCATTTGGCCCCACAATTCACACAGACCAACAGTAAACAATGTCAGTTTCCCCTCAAAACACAGAATATTAATATGCTATATCTGACCCCTGATTGTGACACCAATGATCTCTGACCTTTGGGACAAGACAAACAATCATCCATTTCCTGTTAGTTAGTAACAACCTTTGTTCCGATCGATATTTTTTATTAAAAACAACATGACACGCTTCTAGGGTGCACAAATTGAAAAAAGGGGTATTTTTCAAATTCAGACAACTTCATCGACTTTTGAAAAAAAAATTTCTTGTTCTCGAGATGCGACTTGAAAACTTCACTTTTGATGATTAAAATAAATGAAAATAGTCATTATTATAGTTAGAGAGGGAATCAAGTTAAACCATTGCATTGATCATGTAAGGGTGGCAGGCAATAGGAATAGTTAATATTGAGCAGTTCTCTACCTCGATGTTTAGTTTCTTGATTTTCTAGTGACATTTTGTGCAATTACAGAAGTTTATTTAGCCAATCAAGATGCCAGAATAAATGACACGTTACCGTAGTATTATACACAATCATTGGTGCATAGTGTATTCTTTTTGAAGTAAAGTACTGATTCAAACTATGAAGTCGGTTAAAAAACTTAACTTATTTTGTTTTAATATCCATTGTTGCATTGTTTTAAGTCAATTATTCTTCTCATTTGCTATGGGGCTCTCAAATTGGTCAGTCAAATTAGACAGGTTTTCTCCAGCATAGACCAGATTAGATTGAGAACCCTAGTGAATAGTTCGATTCACAATTTATTTGAACATTACATCTTGTCTCTTACAGCCCCCTCACAGGCAAAAAGGGGAAATGAATTTTTCAGCACATGCATATTTTTTGCAAATTTTAGTAACCACATTAACTGTAAGTTAGCAAGTAGGGTAGACAGGGTTAAAAAAAATGCTCAGACACTAGGAATACTGATCTAAGATTTCCCAAACCCCAGAGATACGTATAATCTGAGTATTTCTGTAGAATATTCATGTGTAATCTCGTACATATAAATTGTTAATGTAGTATAGCTTTAAAATTAGAATGACTTTTTTTGTTGTCATAAATGGCAAAAAAATTACGAACTGGAATAAGCAGAAAAAAAAGAGCTGTACATTGCGAAATGTTGCATGCACATATCTGGCATATTGTAGATCAGAGATTTTGTATAACCTTTTTCCTGTTAATATTCCTTGAAATAATATTTAGAATCTCTACCTGTTATGAACTTTGTTTCTTATTTGACAATTTTTTCTAGAACGACCCATGATTTGAATGCTCTTTTATTGTCTCAATTACACAAATGTTAACAGTTATTTTCATCATGAATGAATTTCAAATTTGTCTTCAGTATTTTTATGTTCTCAATCAGTGTAGTTTTCCGATCAGGAAATGCTTGTTTTCAACTCCCGAAAAAATATATTAAAAAAAAATAAAAGTTTTTAACACATGCAGTCTCAGTTCAGTTTACAAAGCAAAATCCACAACAATCTTATCATGGATAGTTTGGACAGGACAATCTCCATGTCTTGTGGACCAAAAAAAATTTGTTCTGAATATCAATATTCAAATAATAAGCCTGGCAATATTTTTCCCATGTATTTTGATCAAACCATTAACCAAAGAAAATTTATGTTATTTGGGTCAAAAGTAACAGAGAAATGTAAATTAAGTTGAACCATAAAATAAATTTTCAGATATTGTCCAAGAGTTTATCGAAATTTGGAAGTTTTCAAAAACAAAAAACAAAACAGCATTTCCTGATGACTTTTTCTTATTTAACACATACAATATTTTCCAGGGACATAACAATAGAAAAATTATTCAATCTGTGTGAAATGGAGTTATATTTAATAATACCTCCTCCATGTTGAAGTGAACCGACACTTCTCATTTTCAAAATAGATTCTCAAAGTAGAAAAGGAGACGATAATGCAAATTTTTTGATTTGATTCTGCCTGTTAAAAAGTAAATGAAATGAGTGGGTATAATCCTGTGTTGTCAATCTTTATACTAGACTGCCTCACCCACATAAGTACCCTCACACCCCATGCTACAAAATAGTTTGTTCCAATCACAGCAATACAATAAGCATACCATTATTTAATGGGGGTTGTAACTTTGTAGATGGATGTTCGCAGAAAAAATACTTTTAGTGGAAAATATTTTATTTGTTTAGATGATAACTTATTGACGATGTTTGAAATCAGATTCAGTAGATTTAGTCTTAATCCATTTATATCTAGTTATTGATGACGAAAAATATATTGTATTTTATTTGTGATTTAATGTTTCATGGTTATGCTATTGAAAATTAAATGAATTCAAAATATTATAGTCTTTGTTATTGTTTGGTTCTTTATAGTTGTATTAATCGGATTTATTTTGTAGGAATCCTATGACATGTGCCATACACCAAATACAAAAGTATTGGCAACATTTCTGTGTTTTATCAAGTACTGTAGAATACTTTATTTTCACTTGGAATTAATTTTTGCTATTTCCACTGAAAGAATGATTCAGTGAAAATAAAATTCAGCGAATATACGTTTCTTTCTATATTCAACTCATCAAAAATCAGTGAAAATAAAATCTAGCAACTACACCCAAAAAGTCTTAAGCAAAAAATAATTCCAGTTAAAATAAAGTATTTTACAGTACTGTAAAATGACTAATTTTCACTGGGTTTAAATTTCACTGATTTACCATTTCAGGCATATTCAGTGGGTTTTAAATTCACGATTTTATCATTTAGATAATGTGTTCTATGCTAAATTTTACATATTCACTGGGTTTTAATTTAGCGCATTTTCCAGTCAGTGAAATAAGCAAAATTAAAACCCAGTGAATAATTAACCCTTTTACAGTACACAGAATTACATGATGCAGCATTCAAATATAGCCTCCTTAATCAAAGAGTTGTATCATTTCTAAGATTGGTCTACATTACACACTAGACTTAAGTCCTTTCCATACAGCATTATGCTCTAATTCTCTCATATTATAACTTATAGAATGACATGTTGCTATTAGTGTACTTCGAATATTACATACTGTAAAATGACTAATTTTCACTGGGTTTAAATTTCGCTGATTTGCCATTTCAGGCATATTCAGTGGGTTTAAATTCACGGTTTTGTCATTTAGATAATGTGTTCTATGCTAAATTTTACATATTCACTGGGTTGTAATTTAGCGCATTTTCCAGTCAGCGAAATAAGCAAAATTAAAACCCAGTGAATAATTAACCCCTTTACAGTAACGTGACGAAACGTGAAAAAAAAAAATGAAATTAAACCAAAATTTTGAACGACTTCAACCATCACCATGTCACAGAAATAAATTTGTCGAGAATATTTCGTTTCCACTTCTTTTCCGCCTACTTTGCAGCTCGATTCATTTGTGCTGACATGACGCGACAGCCATTTTGGAATTCTTGAACATGATGGCGCTATTCATTTTGTGTTTCACAGTGTAAAATTTTCTCAGATATTATTAGGGCAATGAAAAAAAATGTGAGTTAGGGTTAGGGTTTCATTTCGTTTCGCTTCGTGGAAAAGACTAAGCCCACTGAAATTAAGGCATGTGTACATTGTAAAAAACCAATAGCGAACATCAAGTTCCAGATACAGGTAGCTCAAAGATCAGCGTGTCTGTCAGTTTGACTGTTGTGCGAGTTCTGAATTTGAATCTAGCCTTTATGATTTTTTCATCTTTGTACAGTAAAACTTGGTCATCTGTATAAAAGTCGTAGGGCAATTCATGAGAACAAAGAAATTTGACTTGAAACTGGTCAGAGTTAAAAACAGGACATTTAGAACTGTAAAATCTGTATTAAGAGCTGCATCCCTAATAGAAGTCGCACCCATTTTTTTTTCAACAATTGAGAATCAAGAATTCATCATTTCTCAAAGAAACCACATCCCATTTGTTGCATTGTACCATTTTAATAGAAGCTGTGGCTTCTTATACAGATTTTACAGTACATATAAAAAAAAAGCCTCACAATGGAGCATTCTGATTGGTTGGGAAGCACTGGGTGTGTTTCAACATTTGTTGCAGTCTAAATTTTTAAGCACTATTGTTGTATAGTAAAATATTATCCAAGAACTTCACCTTTGTATTGCATCATCCGATTGCATGGTTTTGTATCCATTCATCCCTCTCTCCACAAATGGAGGCAGTAAGCTGAAACATTCTAGCTTGAAAATTCATGATGGTCTCCTCGCCTTATTTTTGTATTGTTAGCGCGAGTACTGATCATAAATGTTTTTGGACTATGTGACAGGACACTCTTCTTCTCATATCAGGCAGGGTTGTCTCAAAATTAGATTAAGATATTTTGTCCAAAATGACAACTAACATCATGGGATATTTCTAATTTTTTACCATATTTTCGGTGTAAAACATAAAATTAACAGATAACACCTAGGCCATTTGTCTAAAATGATATAACAAATTTAAGATATTTCATGAAAATACCAGTAAATTGCTGATTTCCTGTGAGTAACTGAATCACAGAATAGCATTTTGTCAATTTAATGCCATATTCCGGCAGCAGACTTGGTCGAATACTAACACCTGTGGACTTTAACCAGTGCAACAACCGATACTTGATAATGTTGACGTTAGTGATTTTGTGAGACTCTTTTAACTTAGGTTTTTGTCAGTGTTTTTGTCAGTGTTTTCATCAGTGTAATAACAATGTTCTTTGCAGTATTAAATGAAGACACATGGTGTAAAACTTTAAGATGCTCATTGTATACATTTGTAATAACACTGTTGGTATGGTAATAATACCTGGCTATTGAATGCTATTACAAATATATACCATGTCACAGGACATATTGTTATCCGTCTACTCATTTGGTGTTGCAATTTTATTTTAGTTCAAAATGACATGGACTAAAAATATGTAAATATTGGTGACAAACATCTTTGCTCGTCACTGAAAGTGTTACCAACTGTGCATTGCAGCAAATTTATGTAAACTAACTCTAATTCAAAATTTCTTTAAGAAAACAAGGATAAAACCTAATCAATCTGTGTGTGTATTTCAGGTTTGCTTTTAGGAGTTTACAGAGTAGCGCCCTCAGAGTCAGGATATAAAAACAGTAAATAGAGATTGAGGGCGCTCTAACAAGGCATTACTTGTTTTCAATGCCAATAAGCCAACACGCTTAGACAACTACCAGTATCTTGTCAAGGAGCACTGGGAGGTGAAAACGACATTGAAAAAATGTCTTACATGTTTATATGGTTGATAGACCTATATGTAATTTTTGTAAAGTCATCGCATGAATACTACTGTAGAAAACACTAACTAATTTGTAGCAAAGTATAACGAGAACTTGACGAGTGTGAAAACAGCGCAATTGATTCACGTACGATTGATACTTCCATTGAAATACCTATAGTTTCACACAAATGTTGACATATAGCAATTTAAGCTAATTTAACAATATTTTTGTGTGGAAAAAGTTCAATTTAGTATTTTCTGTAGAAATCAAGGTTATAAATCTTTTCATAGTGCGCACGACAGTTCCTTGACATGACTGTAAATGCACAGGTCAAATAGCATAAAATTATAAATAAAAACATCAACGTCCTTGTTTTCAAAAATTTTATTAGTTTTTTAAATTGAACAGTGATAATTTGAGACAATATATTTATTTCCACATGATTTATGTTTTAAACATACGTCTGTTTCTATAGCAATTTTATACTTGTTTGAGCCCATGTGACTTCCGATGTGAGCGAGACTGTAGAATTATTTACAACCATGACTTTCTTCAAAAGAAATAGGTTGATCCCTATTTTTCCAACACAAAATATGCTATATATGAACTTTTGTGTAAATTATAGATATTTCAATTTGTACGTCAATCGAACGCGAATCGAATTGTACGCTGTCTTCACACTCATGAATTTGATAAATAGCATATTCAGATTTATTGTTCAATCATCAATCATGGGTACCTACTGGCTGTGGATCTAGACACTGTATCTAGAACTGCTATGGAGAGGGCTGAATGACTCGTGAACTAACTGGAAGATAACCAGGCTACCCCCCCCCCCCCCCCCCCCCCCGATGGCTTTGCAAATAAAAAAAAAAATTGGACAACCACAACCTTGTTTTTGATGGCAAAAACACTTGACTTCAATGAATTTGGTTCACGAAAATGGCTGCCATTTCGTCATATTAAATCAGATCATGAAGGAAGGCACTTGCATATGTATCTAAATATGAATGTGTAAAGATTTAATATGGTCAGACATATGTACCTGGAACAGCATTCATAAAAACAAATGCACAAGTATGCGTGATGTTTGATGTCTGAATATTTATGCATAACTGAGATCTGATTCCAGAATAGCAGAAATTTTGTTCATTTTAGCATCAAAATGGCCAGCACTTAGTCATTTCGAACTGAACACAAAACAAAACAAATGGATGTGCTTGGATGTATGCACAAAGTTTGAATGTGACTGATCAAAGCATGCCCAAGACATATGTGCGAACAGACAGTCACTCGTGCAGAGTGGTGAACCTCAAGTCCTCAGCTTTTAGACTTGTTCATAACAGGGAATAATAATGTAACAATTGATGCAGCTTCAAGAACTTAATACAAAAACAGAATTTTTGCGAATTTCCTATTCTGAATTTCCACCAGTGTTAGTATGTTTTTTTGCTCAGCTCCATAAATAACATGCTACGAGTCATTGTAGACCCCAATTCCTATGGTATATGCAGTGCAAATGTCATGATGCCCTGGTCCAGATAAGAACCAGTATGGTAGCAAGTGATACTTGTCTCTTTTTGCGAGTATTACACAAAGAGTCCTCCAAAAATGAACAAGTTTAAGATGACAACCAACATCAATACATAAATCAAATACAATCAGAATGTTTAACGTTGCTTTGAAATTTTAATAAACATTGAGAAAGATTACAATACAATGTTGAATTCATCATAATATCGGGTACATACGAGATGTTGGTTATCTTCATTGTAAGAGCAGTTACTTCAACTGTGACGTGACAAGCTCTTATGCCAACATCTGAATAATATACAGTTTATATTTGTATGATTACATCTTTACTTTTAGCATAAATCTTTGACAACCACATCTGTTGTCATAACTAGAAAACAAAATTTCTACAGTTTCTCAATGCAACTAATCTTGTCGTGATTTTTTTTTTACAATTTTTAAGTTAGGCCAAATTTAAAACTTAATTTGGCAGCCATTGAACACTCAGACAATAGTCCACAGCACCAATTAAAAACAGCGCAATTGTCTTGTACAACTGAAAAAGAAATGCCTTTATAACTTCACATTTTTGTAAAATAATGCCTGACATCCAAACCCCGTGTGGTCGATGTGCAAGATGAATCTGATGGATAACATATCCCAAATACAATTGGGTGCAGTCAGTTGGTGTACAAGTATAATATAATAAATTAATTTACCGTTATTAATCAGCGATGAGTTGCCTAAGGGTGGACCGTGATATCAGTTTCAAATTGCATTTATTTCATTACACTTGTACACCAGCTGACTGTGATTGGGTGATACTAGCAACAAGATGGGGACTCCAGAATTTCGGTCAACATGTGCACGAATACTTCTAATTATCAATCAATTATATGTCACCATATGGCCGCATCCACTATACATGACGGTATCATTTCAACCTTTCACATGTCTACAATTTCATTTTTGATCTGGTTAACTTATAACAGTAGATGTAGGACTGACTTCTTTAGTCGTTGTCTTCTTCTTCATCAGACTCATTATGTAATGATTGCTCAAAATAGTAATCAAAGGCGTAGTTCTTTTCAACCATAATGCCCATCTTTGTACGGAATTCTTCACTGTTTTCATATGCCTGAATCTAAGTAATCAAATTAAGTAACATATATATATTACTAAACATGTATTTATAGTATAGAAGATTATTTGACTGAACAAATTATGTCCATTTATTTTAAAAATAACAAAGAAATTAAAAAAAATAAAATAAAAGATTACCAAAAGGGTTAAAACTCAATCTATTCAAAACACCACTGAGAGGAGTAATAAATCATTTAAAATAGCAACTAACCTGTAGAAGGAAATCTTTTCCCTCACGTGGTGGTAGATTTAGTTGTGATACATAGTTGAACAGTTCATGAGGTTTCATCACACCTGGCACTCCACACTTTGAGAAAAACTGGAAAAATAGAAACCAAATATGTGATAACGATGCACAAGATAATCCATCAAACAGTTGGACCCTTTATTAATTGGACCACCTGATTTTTGCTGGAACAGTGTTTTATTTTATAATTTCAACCACCTTGCAATAATTGATACATTAATCCACCCCAACAGACCCCTTACGTAAGTCGAGCTTTCTAAGACTTCCTGTTTCAGAATGACGGAAAGTGAGGTCAGTAAATTGACGCTACAGGTCAACGTTCTTTCAACACTGATCTGCTGGGCCAAATGAGCTGGGCCAAAAATTCTGCACTCAGCAATCAGTTTACACTGATAGTTCCTTGAGTCAAGTGCGTTCTAAGCGTGATGTTTTTGCGTTCAAAGACATTCTATTTGAAGCTAGTTGAAACCTGAAATTACGCGGGAAATTTCGAACTTCAAACACAAATTTAATTGGTTTTAATTTTTGTTGTTACAAAGATTAAATTATGTATAACATTAATATTTCACTCAATGAACAATATTTCACTGAATTATGTGATTAGAAAGTAACTTATTTAAAGTTGTAAAAAGAAATAACATCTACTATAAACATTTTTTTAATTCTACAATCACAGAGTGAAAAACTACTATATTTTAACAATCAGCTAATACACATGTTATAACAGAAATATTTCATTTTCAACATTTTTTTTTGGGAGGTGGATAGTGGGTAATTTTCTGAATATCAAATTAAAGTATTGAATAACAATGCAACAAGAGATCTATAAACACTTTTAATGTTTATGCTATCAATTTAAGCGCATCAAATAAATTTTCATAAAAGTCACTGTGACTCGTTATTTCTTGAAGATACCAATTAAAACCTTTCGGTTTTTGCAAACATTTGTCTCCCAGGCAATAAAAGCAATTTGCAGTACCCACCTGCAAGAAATATCCCCCTGTAGAATCCATTATTAGCATTAATGAGCAAGTAGCAGAAACTTACCGTTGATACATTAGTACAATCCCTAAATAAGAACTCTAGTCCACATGGATGATTAGGTTCCACCGACTGGGACACATCTATGAACCATAGTAGATTATTATGCCATAACATGTTATATTCACTCAAATCAGCATGGATTAATTTACACTCCACGAACATCAACTTCATCATCTGAAATCAATATGACAAGATTAATTAATGTGCATGAAGCAATTTCGAAATTGTTTGTGCAGGAATATTGTTTTACAGAAAATATGTTTGAAAATAAGAATATTTTTTTTCATTTGATAAATATGACAAACATAATTATCGGTAATACGATAGGACAGCTAGTATCCAATGGAGTTTTTAAAGTCACATTTTTACTAATATCTCAAAAAGAGACACCAAAATCAAATTTGGTAAATATTTTACCTTGGTGGGTAATATAACTAGGCTTTTAAAGAAAATAATTATTATATAAAGCTATCATGAACACAAGAAAATTGACTCTCACATATATTGCAACCTTTATTATAGATACAAGAAAGGTAAAAATGAATTATATGAAGAGAACATAATGTTGTTAGAATTGACTACCTTGAATAATTTTAAGTGATCCACCCTAGCGCTAATTCATCAAAAACAGTACAGTCAAACCTGTACAAAGTGCTCATGAAAGGAACTTCATTAAAATTAAAAGTTGAATTTTATTTTTAGGGATCGCCAACTCATACATTTGACATATTTGTTCCAAAAATTGTAAGATGTTACTGTTGCAACAAATATCCTTTTATTCGAGATGATCAAAATGAAAATTAAATAAGGGAATTTATTATTATTTTGGTTACTATAGACAGGTGTTTTTTACATAGAGGTGTTCACTAACACAGGTTTAACTGTACTACAAGGACTGTATACATCCGCATCTCTCTCAACCCAGAACTAGTCATACTTACTTTAATACACTGCTGGTATGCATCTTTGGTATCTTCTAATGTCAAATCAGCATATTTTATTTTAGGCGCTGGTTTTGCATCTTTACCAATAAATGACATCACAAGTACATGCTTACGTAACAGAACAACTTCTGGTACTCTAATACCAATTTTCTGCATTCTAAAAATAAAACAATTCTATTATTGTAAGCCATTGATTATTATTATTATTATTATAACGAGAAATGCTGGGAAGTGCTCCTTTATGAAGTTACTGTGGAATATTTTATTTTGGTTTGGAATTATTTTTTGCTATTTTCGCTGAAGGAATGAATCATTGAAAATAAAACCCAGCAAATATACCTTGTTTTTTACATTTTACATTCAAAAAATCAGTGAAAATAAATTTTATGCAAAACACCAAAAAAGTCTATTCAGCAAAAATTAATTCCAGCTAAAATAATGTATTTTACAGTAATTCAATATTTTTTTATGGTTACTGATCAATCAGCATACAGCCATAAACCGTTTTTTTTATATAATATATAGAGATCGATTCTGAACTGTTTTAGTTAATTAATAGGCAAATTAGGTAATTATTATATACTGATGTGTACCAAAATCTAATCAGGTCTGGGGTTAATCACAAAGTATCTGTGTACCTGTCATTACACTCCACCTAGTGGTTCTTGAGATATTGGTGGACCAAGATTTGACACGTCCATCCATCCATCCAGACAGACAATGTTACGATAAAATATAATTTGTGACATTTTGGTATTCATACACACATAGATGTATGATATTTCTGCTGAATAACAGAAAGCATTTCTATGCATCTTGTGGAAAACAATCAGTTTCACAAAACGCACCCAGCAATGTAACAACCAGCGAAGAATCCATCAACTGGTCAGTGGTTGCCTCAAAGTCATTCCTTTTTTAATTCTAAACAACTGTGTAAAATAAAAAGAATCTCACCTCATTAAATTATGCATTTCCTTTTCAGCCCACATTCTGATAATCTTTCTTGGGTTGAGTTTTCGAAGACGATCTTTGAATCTGTAGTCGTCTTTAATGTACTTGTCTCTTGACTTGAATTCATTCAGTGTTGTTTTAAATACTTTAATAGCACATTCATAGGGAACTAATTTACCCTCCATCCTGGAAATGGATTGCAAAAAATGTAGATGTCATACACTTGTTGCACAATATTTCCTATTTTTGAATGGTGGTGGTCATCGCAAAAGTTAATTACCATGATGTTAAAATTTGATTTGGGCAAAAAAACAGATTGTTTTCCCCTTAAAAACTGGTAGTTGACAATTTTTGAAAGGTAACTGAGTGCGGAGTAAGGATTTAAACACCTTTCATGGCCGCCAACAGGTCACGTCGAAGAATAGCTTACCTGTTACTTGTTGTTATTATACAATTATTCAGAAAAGTAAAACAATGTCAGATGGCCAGGTTTCATGACTTAATGGTTTGGCATTTTGAAAGCTACGACTAAAAAAGATAGATTATTCAGTATCGCAACATCAGGGTTCATCCTGAGTAAATAACAAAATAGAATGGGTGCAAACCATGTTGATTTGTCATACACTCGGAAATTTACGTTTTCTCATAAAAGCACAAACCAAACTACTGTACCAATCACAATTCTTATGCAATGAAACACACTTTTTACATGCATATTTTAATGAATGCTGTCGACGCCCGGTAAAAATACCCAAAGTCTATAATCAGGGTTGCCCTCAATTCGATTAGGAAGCAAGAAAGAAAGGGGCTTATGTTCAGGTAAGTACAATAGTTGAAGAACCTCTCTGTTAAACATACAAATTCAGCTAAATTTATAATAATGTTTGTATATGACCAACAAAACATGGACAAGCACATTAACATGTTTGTGTAAGTTCAGTACTGATTTTGAGAGTTGAGGGGTGGGTGTTGCAGCTTCACTACAGTAACTTACACAGTCACAGTGAAATTCTAAATCAAATTCTGTGAATCTATGGCTTTAATGCATGTACTAGATAATCTTCCCTTCAGCACAAATTTCATTCATACTTACATTCCACCATCAGCATGGATTATAACAGCCTCTTTACCAGTACTAATAGTACCATTAATAGTCTCTAAAGTTCCATTATTGACTAATTTATATAATATTAAACGTGTATTGGTATCCATGGCATGATCCTGAAAGAAAAAGGAAAGAATTTTAATAGTTACATTACAGTTTTCACTGCATATTATAGCCAATGGTCAAAGGTCAAATGAGTATACATAATAAATAACACTTTCAACTCTTTTTATCCAGAATTTTATCCCACTGAAATGTGGTTCTTTTTAATTTTGGCTGCATGGCAGTCTGCAATTTGTATTTATTTATTCTGCAGGCCTTCAATGGCGTTACAAGCTAGATTTGCAATTTTTTTCATATTTTGTAAAAATTATAACTAAGCCAAAATGATCTTTGGTACCAAGTGAGAAAAAAATGGGAACTATGGTCAATGACTTATGCCAAATAACATGCAAACAGCTAGAAATGAAATGAAAAAAAAATTTACCATCAAGCTAACTGCTGTTTACTTGAGCATAGCCTACACACATTCTAAAATTAAACATTTTTTAAGAGCTACCAAAAGCATTTAGTTCATAATTACATGGATTAAAAAAAAAAATATGCAACAAATGCAGCTCAGTAAACCCAGTAACACAAACAATGCACTTATTATAACGACCCTCACTATTATTGAAATTGACCTTTCAACAGATAGGACAAAGTACATTTGATTGAACCTGAATATGCAAAGTGGAAAACCTGTCCTTCATACCTTTAGAGGGAACCTTTAATATTGATGTTTTTTTCATTATGATTTGGTTATAGGGAACTGCACCACACTGTAGCCATAGCCGATAATAAGTCAAGAAAAAATAAACTGTACTTACTGTTGTTGAATGTTCTTTCTTTTCATGTACTCGATGGCTTTTCTTTTCTTCAGAATGACTATGTTTTTTTAGTACATTGTACACAGAATTAGAAAGTTGAAGATCATCAATCTGACTGCAGTTACCCGTAGCAAAGTCAATTGCAAACTGTAAGCAATAACATTATGACATCGCTATAATTAAAATGATCACAATCGAGAATGATTTGGTTGTACATTTAATCAGATTGTACATTCTATGAAAGTCATGGTGATTACATTTACTGTAAACGACTTTAATATTGCAAAAGATAAATTTTCTAAAACTTTGGAAAATTTGTTACAGCGGACATACTGGGGTCATATGAAAAACTTAGCAACTTTCGCAACTTGTTGTCTTCACGAATACCATAAAATCATCAAATTTTGAATATTAAGCACTGACAGAATTTATTAGATTGATTACAGTATTATTTGCTTACGTTTTCCATTTTGGATGCATTCTTCCTTCCACAAGTAGCAGCATCATGCTTGGTCTTAATGTCTTTGCCCTTACCACGATAACCCTTCTTAGGCATGGAACTTGCATTCCCTGTGTGTGAAAAAACAAATACCAATAAGGAGGTGACATCCAGAAGAGAATACATCTAATCTCACACTATTGGTATAAATATAGTTCAAGCATGTAACCACTTTCATATGTTTAAAAATAAGTAGTCAATTCAATTTTTTCTGGACAAACCTGGCTATGGAAATAGATAGTCAATTAATTTGTCCCCCCTATAAGCCTGGCTATTCTACATTTATGAAAAGGCTTTGCTTCATAGTAAATTCAAACTTAGAAATTAAGTCACAGCTGTTATTATAAAAAATAGTAAACCATAGATTTTAGTAATCCTCAACAAAATGAAAACAAACGAAATAAAAACTAAACTATTACCCAGTACACCACAAATGTGTGATTCTGAGGTCTGTGTTGGTTGAGAAAAAAAAGCTAAATTGAATTGCATAGAAAGGGAAATTGTATCCCATGTACAGTATTAAACTTGTGTAGTAAATTTTGTATGTTCCTTGTCAAAAGCTTGGAACATGACTTCATTTGATTAATAAATCAATCAAAAAATCAAATATCACACAGTTACTCATTAGACACCCTCTATATATTCTACCTACCTGTAGAACCTGAACTACCAGTATTAGTCACATAATATAAGGTTATTACGAGAATACCTCAAAGTATGCACGAAGACAGTACAGCTGGAATATCAACCGACGCACAGCGGAGGTCGATGTGCAGCGTACTGTGAGTGCATACTTCGTGGTATTCTCTTAATAACCTTATTATTATACATCTTTTCCTTCCAAGGATACATCATGGGAATGCCAAAATTCCAAAATATTTAGAACAGAATCAGCGAATTTCTTCATGTTGAAACTGGCAAAACTTTGGTGGCAGCCATATTTGTTTTTATTATTAGAGGACGCTTACGCGCATAATCATTCCATTTTTGGAATTTGTGTTTCCTAATATGGTAGGATTAAAATACCCCGCAAAATACCGCAAAATTACAGCACGTTGTAACTTATGGCGTTACGGTGACAGATGTATAATAATAAGCATTATACAATTACCTTTGACAGTGTCTTCATCCTCATCCCAGCTATCATCTTCATCAACATCCTCATTAAGTGCTGGATGCACAGATCGATAATTGGCAAAGGATAGTTTAACTGTTGCACAGAGAAAAATGAGAATCAGATAATTGCATTCTTGATGTATATCACACTTAGGTATGAAAGAAAAACCAACATCGAACTTGAAACTTTATCACTCAAGTTAATTAATTGCTTTAAAGTTATGTAAACCACAAGAAAAAATAATCTAGTACAGGGCAAATAATCGTGAATTTAAAGAAAGTTATTCAAGTTTAATAATGTTGGTTACTGGTGATATTTTTGGGACTGAGAACAGAGGATGGTAGTCAGAATTTTGCACATGGGGGGAAAAAGTTTCTAAAAATTTAGTGTGATAATTTGAAAACGTATCAATAATTTCTCTTTAATTAATTTTGGACAAAATTGTTTTCAATTATCAACAAAAATTGTGGAACAAGCATGAATCAAGGTAAAAGTTTATTTTGTGAAGAGAGACAATGCCACTTGAATGGTTAATGGATCAGATTACTAATGTTTTGATAAAGATTTCTTTGATATAAGCTACTAGTATATAATATTTTTACCTTTGCTGTCTTTGTTGAAATGCTGTTCTTCATTCTTCAGCATCTGATCATGCTCTTTGTCAAATTCTAATTGCAACATTTGTGCCAGTAGCAAATCATTATCAGTTTCTTTTCCATCTTCATGGAACAGTGATAGATCAAAATCAACTGTATCGCTGAAATCAACAAGACAAATATTAGTGCAAAATATGATTGAATAACTTAGATTTTCAAAATTATATTTTCTCTTGTATATTTTATGAATGTTTTTTTTTAAATAAAATGTTATAAAAATTTCAAATGATGATTAAAAACAACATGACAAATCACAGCGTATTGACGGATAAATCGACCAATGATTGAAAAAACCCAACAAGACCTAAGGTATTAGGTGTTACAAAATGGTTTCTACATCGAATCAAAGTATTTTTTTAGTTTTGGGTCTTCCAGGGTAAGTGTTTTATAAATATTTTATAAATAATCATAAAAAACATTCATACCCTCATGAAATTTGCTGTACTCTCACATAAACAAGCCATGCATAGTACAGTTACATTTCAGTAATACAGTGAAGGCAGTGTGGATGAATACATGCGTCTGAAAAGGAACGACCCTGTGCGTGTGGGTATCAACCAAAATCTGATTTGCTTTTTGCACATCATGGAACAACATGCGAATAATTATAGCCAATCAAGTTGTCTCAATTGGATTTGAATGAAACATTATAAAATATATAAACGGCTTTTCTGAAAGCACTGTATGGCTGTTTATTCATAATTGACTTATGCAAAAGTATACACATCACATGTTATATGGACAAACAATGTATAATTAAAATAGATATTTTCTTTCACTTTGTAGCATGCAGAAACAATGATTGGGCAAACCCGTAGTCTAATATAATAGACTGAGCAGATGCACAAGTTATCGTACAAAAACAAAATAATTGGTAAATAGAAAACTTAACCTGAATGTTCATGTTGAAACACAGTACATGTATTATTATTTTTTTTCTGTGAAATGTATTTTATGTTTTCTCTTTACCACACAGTACACCCTCAGATTAGTTGTGTCATGGAGCTAAAAAAAAAAAAGAGTACAGTTGTAGTTGTAGTCAAGTTATTATTAAAAACATAATTACCCCGTTTTCACTGTGGAAATTACAGAATCTTTTTCTTCTTTTTTCTGTAGTTCTTTTGCCAATTCTTCACTCATTACATCCGACAAAGAACACGGTTCTGCGGTAACTTGTACAACGGATTTCCAGGGACTCGGCGGTGAAGGCGAGGCGCCGATCACAACTCCCGGCATATGGGAGTCTGTCTGGTTTCGAGTCCAGGGATTACGATTTGGAATAGAACTTTCGCTGACAAGAACTTCTCCGCGTGACTCCATTTTTACAGTTAATAAATAATAAAAATATAACTCGCTATATACAGAAATGTTTTTAAAAATTAAACTTTTATACTATTATAATCCGAATACTGGCAGATTTTGTGAAAACCGAGCGAGACTGAAAATGGCCGATCGACACTATTTTGATCCTCAGTGACCGGGTGGCTCCGGATTGCAATGAAAATTAGAAAATACGCGTTAACTAAAAGCTCCCAAAATAGCACCAAAAGCCAGGTAAAAAAAAAAAAAAAAACAACTATTGCACAATTCGTGCAAAATTAAAATAAGTTGCACAACGTTGAGAAAAATGGCCGTGGTGAAGTTGCGCAAGGCAACTGTCTGTCTAAAAAGTGGAGCAAAGCAGCATAAACAACCAAAATACGGAGGTCAAAGGTAAGTGACGGTTTGAGGGGTGGTATATACATTGATTTTATAATCTTATTTTCTAGTCAAAAAACTATCTTTTTGAACAAAAGTCAATAGTCTCTCTACCTGAATACTAGTATGTTTAGTAGTCAAATGATATCTCCATTGTCATTTTTCTTCATATACAGGTATTTTGTTGTTATATTTGTTACCACCCCTCTAATATCGAACAGTCCACCCATAACTGGAGGAAAGTGATAAGAACCCAATAAACACGATAGCGAAGTTGGCGTAAGTGCGACAGACATGAGATTGATATGTTGGATTCGTCCACTGTCAGAATGAGCAATGATTTCTGGGAAATCTGATTACTTGTAGTTGTCTGTGCTACAAGATATAATAGTTGGTGAAGTGCAGGACGCTCTGATAGTGACTTGATTTAGAATAAAGAAATTATAAAAATATAGATTAATGACTGTTTGGAAAACATGATTGGCGTTTTTATAAATGTTTGCATTGAAAACGCCATCATTATTTGAATCTTTTTATTTAGAGATTGCATTTCTTCAGTTTTTCTGTTTTTTAACGGCTGGTTGACTCAAAAGAAAAAAGATGATATAAACGACTAAAAACTCAGATTAAAAAAACTACGATTTTTTCATGCTTTAAAATGTAAGAATAAATATGAAATTCGGCACACCATCATCTATTCGTAGAATTCGTAAAACCATTATGTTAACATTAATTAATTAATAATAATATTTATTTATTGCATCTTTAGAAATACAGTATTTCTATCAGTACAGTAGCAATAAAAGTATAACAAAGTATAATAATAATAATGAAATGATAAAGAAAGAGAAAATATTATAATGTTAAGTATAAAAGTAAAATGTAATGTGTTAATTTTTTTACTAATTCTAATAAGTTTAATAATAATAAAACTAAGACTAATAATAATAAAATTCAAAGCTATCAACTATCTATTCTTTCTTGAAAGGCTTTGTAAATAAACTGTGAAACCTTTTTTATAATTTCACAATCATCTGCACTGAGCAATCGAATGAATGTATTGTGTGCATCATGTGATAGAAAATTAAATTCAGACATAAGTTGTTGGTGCAAGTTTCCATATTTTGGACAAATCACGAGAAAGTGAAATTCATCCTCAATCACATTCATTTTGAACTGTTTGCATTTTCTTTCATTTACTGGCGTTTTAGGGTGTGTGTACCTGCCCTTTTCAACTGAAAACAACTTAAAAACAGTTTGAACGTTCAACAAATATCTTATTTTATTTTTAAAACGTTTATTAAATAATGTTAATATTGAATACAGAGTGTTATATTTATCTGTAAGCGTTAATAATAGAAACGCATTTTAAAATTGTGCTATCGCTTTTTTAAAGTTGTGGGGAACGGTAACATAATAACTTCCTTATTTTAGCAGCAAAACTGTCAATATTGCACCTTACTAACTTCTTGAAGACAATTCATTAAATCACATGAATTAAAATACTATATGTTATACGCGAACTTATTAAACGTATAGAATAAAAATAGATACAATAAGTATTTGTCACATAAACATATAACGCACACACTTTTTAAAAACCGACTAAAATCGATTTTTAAACTATTTCACTTCAATTCAATTCAAAAATATATTAATAAAAAGAGATTTGGCGTGGCTGTACTCTTAATAAAATCCTGAGATCTTAATGAAAAAAATACGTGCCAAGTCTTTGCTTCCAAACCGAGAATATACATACCCATTCTTCTTCCAAGAAATCCCTGCGACCAGAGCACTCGGGACAGAACACCGAAAGTATATTCTTAGAAATAGAACTCTGCGTGGGAGATTTGTACTTACCCTGGTACTTACCCAACCCGATGATATGAATCAAATCCGAAGTGTGAATCTGACGCCAACTTGAATTCACAATGGCTGATGGCCAGAAAGGTAAATTTTAATTTCAGTGTGACGACTTCTGCACGTGTGCGTTGGTAGTTTAGTGCGTGTCGGGTTTGGTTGATCTTGTGCATCAACTTAAATTGAGGACTAGATCATTTGAGTTTTTGAGATCGGTCTCATAGTAAAGTTGGTGACAGAACACACACAGACTCGTGCTGTTTCTTTATTTACATTTTTAAGCAGTTCGTCCCTATCACTTAATTTCACCCGTATTACGTATTCCATTGCCTGTGGAAGTTATTATTGTTTTCAACTTTCGTGCGAATTGTGATTTAACTTTCCACTGTACCCCAACTCATTACCGCAACTCTTAACCGTAACCTTCAGCCCCCCCCCCCCCAATTCAGTTGTATCATGGAGTAGTACGTCCATGGCTATACCATGGAGGTATAAAAGATATCAATAGCGTTGTCACTCCTTTTTTTAGCTCCGCTGTCGACTTTGATATTACATATATAGGTACTACATGTGGACCCCTCTCAGATTTGTTCATTTTGTAATGAATATTTTTTGTAATTTTTGGTAAAAAGTGATATTTTCAACTTCTTGTAAAAAACGCAAATCCGATTGCTTTGATATTACATATATAGGTACTACATGTGGACCTCTCTCAGATTTGTTCATTTTGTAATGATATCTTTAATTCTCTAATTTTGATGAATATTTTTGTAATTTTTGGTAAAAAGTGATATTTTTGAATTATTGTTGAAAACAGCAAGTCCCATTGCTTGATACTATACATATTGTTCATTTTTTAATGATATCTTCTGTTCTTTAATTGAAATGTGCATTGCTAACAGTGGAGCTATCTTAGCTGAGAGGCTGCTTGTTTCTACTTCCATGGTTGTATGTACCGGTCACTATAGGTGTTCTCAAGAGGGGCATGTACAATTAATTTGAGGGGTGATAAAGGGAGTGGAGGTTGGGTTGAGTTAGGTTTAGATGGGGAGGTACATTGTTATTTCACTTTTTTCACAACCACAACTGGTTGATTTGTAGCAACAATTTCAACACTAAAAATGAAGACTATGGTGTCAGTACCTAATCCTGATAAAAGTTCTAATCACACCAATTTCCAGTCTTTGTCTTATACCTGACACTGTGGACTGATAATTGCTAAACCCAACAATGTTCATAAACTATTCCTGTCAATTACGTAAGGTATATCTGAATAAATTAACCTGGCAGTTAAAATTCAGATGTAACTTGATCGATCATAAAGGTTTGGGAAACTTAACGAAAATAACTTGATTGCCAGACATGACTATGATCAAGTTTCCCCAGTGAGCGCACTGTAAGCGACAATTTCAAAATCACAGTAATACTGGCTAGCGATTGGAGGGTTGTTGTATACTGAGTAATGAATCAGCTTTCAATGAATTCATTTCTTCTTCATTCACTTTGTCGATCTTCAATGCATAAGTTGATGTCAACAATCCCAGTATGAGTCAAGAATCAAAACCTGCGGCTGACGAGAAGCTTCGTCATGTAGAACTTGATGTCCTGATTCCCAAAATGGTGAGAGATAGAGCCAGGAAGGAAAAATGTTCATCCGAAGTACAAGGTATAGTTAAATATAATGTAATAATTAACATCAAGGATTTATAAGATACCACTATGAATTGATGAAGAAAAATGTATATTTCTGGAAATGCAATGATTTAGCCTTGTGTGTGTGTTGTTAGTGTTCTAGCTTTTATGATAAAGTGTTCACTACGTGGGATCTTCATTGTAATCACTGTAAATGGACACAAGGGCTTGTTTCCTTGTGGTACTTTTGCAATTAGAATCCAATAGTATAGTGTAAAGAATTAAATTAAATCTAACATTATGGCTTATATAATCAACTTTGAAATTATGATGTAGAGAATCAACTTGAATTAAATATAATATACATTTAACCTCGCACCCAGGGTACTTGTGTTTCTTAGGGCGTGAGCTATTAGTCAAAGCACACAACCCCTCCCCTCCGAATATTATTTCAAGTGATCACAATTGAGACAGTATGATGAATGTTTTGAAGATATGGTGATCTTATTGAAGACAATACAGTGATTATATTGGCTGATGTTTATTATTTTCTATTCAACAGCTTTCAGCGATTGTGCTGCAAAAAGCTCATTAGGAATGGTTCTGAAGTGTCGTAAAGAAAATAGTGCTATGAGAAAATGCTTGACAGATTGGTGAGTTGCCACTCAATGTGTGATATTATTGTTGTTGGGAATGTTGTATCTTAGACATGGTTTGGCATTTTTCGTTCAAATCTGTCATATATATGTTAGGTGTTGGATTGGGTTTCTACTTGGGATAAGATCAAAATTATCTTGCTTTTCGGTCAAGTTATGAAATGAACTGAATTAAAAAAAAAAAGAATAAAAACTAAAATAAAAATGTTCTTGGAACAAAAGTTGAATAAATTTGAGAAATAGCACACCTATCCAGTTTATGACTACTGTAAAAGGATTAATTATTCACTGGGTTTTAATTTGGCTTATTTCGCTGACTGGAAAAAGCGCTAAATTAAAACCCAGTGAATGTAAAATTGAGCATAGAACACATTATCTAAATAATAAAACCGTGAATTTAAAACCCACTGAATATGCCTGAAAAAGTCAACGAAATTTAAACCCATTGAAAATTAGTCATTTTACAGTGTGTGATATAAAATTCAGAACAGTCATTTAAAACATTACAGTCACTACATTTTCACATGTTGTGTACGTCGCTATTGATTTCAAACAGCACATTTATAAATTTTATTTCTAGTCTGTTATTATTCTCAATTACTAATCATACACTACAAAATCATTCAGAAATAATTCACTTTGTAATATGGCCAGTAATATGCATATCTAATTTGATTGCATAACAGATTAGTTTCTCACAATGCAATGCACATATGCTCAGCAACATGCTCAGTGGTGAAAAATTTGAATTTCTCTCTTCCACAATGCAATGCACATATGCTCAGTAACATGCTCAGTGGTGAAAAATTTGAATTTCTCTCTTCCACAATGCGATGCACATATGCTCAGTAACATGCTCAGTGGTGAAAAATTTGAATTTCTCTCTTCCACAATGCGATGCACATATGCTCAGTAACATGCTCAGTGGTGAAAAATTTGAATTTCTCTCCCACAATGCAATGCACATATGCTCAGTAACATGCTCAGTGGTGAAAAATTTGAATTTCTCTCTTCCACAATGCGATGCACATATGCTCAGTTACATGCTCAGTGGTGAAAAATTTGAATTTCTCTCTTCCACAATGCAATGCACATATGCTCAGCAACATGCTCAGTGGTGAAAAATTTGAATTTCTCTCCCACAATGCAATGCACATATGCTCAGTAACATGCTCAGTGGTGAAAAATTTGAATTTCTCTCTTCCACAATGCGATGCACATATGCTCAGTAACATGCTCAGTGGTGAAAAATTTGAATTTCTCTCCCACAATGCAATGCACATATGCTCAGTAACATGCTCAGTGGTGAAAAATTTGAATTTCTCTCTTCCACAATGCGATGCACATATGCTCAGTAACATGCTCAGTGGTGAAAAATTAGAATTTCTCTCTTCCACAATGCAATGCACATATGCTCAGCAACATGCTCAGTAGTGAAAAATTTGAATTTCTCTCCCACAATGCAATGCACATATGCTCAGCAACATGCTCAGTGGTGAAAAATTTGAATTTCTCTCCCACAAAGCAATGCACATATGCTCAGTGGTGAAAAATTTGAATTTCTCTCCCACAATGCAATGCACATATGCTCAGCAACATGCTCAGTGGTGAAAAATTTGAATTTCTCTCTTCCACAATGCGATGCACATATGCTCAGTAACATGCTCAGTGGTGAAAAATTTGAATTTCTCTCTTCCACAATGCAATGCACATATGCTCAGCAACATGCTCAGTAGTGAAAAATTTGAATTTCTCTCCCACAATGCAATGCACATATGCTCAGCAACATGCTCAGTGGTGAAAAATTTGAATTTCTCTCCCACAAAGCAATGCACATATGCTCAGTGGTGAAAAATTTGAATTTCTCTCCCACAATGCAATGCACATATGCTCAGCAACATGCTCAGTGGTGAAAAATTTGAATTTCTCTCCCAAAATGAAATGCACATATGCTCAGTAACATGCTCAGTGGTGAAAAAATGAATTTCTCTCCCACAATGCAATGCACATATGTTCAGTGGTGAAAAATTTGAATTTCTCTCCCACAATGCAATGCACATATGCTCAGCAACATGCTCAGTGGTGTAAAAATTTGAATTTCTCTCCCACAATGCAATGCACATATGCTCAGTAACATGCTCAGTGGTGAAAAATTTGAATTTCTCTCCCACAATGCAATGCACATATGCTCAGCAACATCCTCAGTGGTGAAAAATTCGAATTTCTCTCCCACAATGCAATGCACATATGCTCAGCGACATGCTCAGTGGTGAAAAATTTGAATTTCTCTCCCACAATGCAATGCACATATGCTCAGTGGTGAAAAATTTGAATTTCTCTCCCACAATGCAATGCACATATGCTCAGCAACATGCTCAGTGGTGAAAAGTTTGAATTTCTCTCCCACAATGCAATGCACATATGCTCAGCAACATGCTCAGTGGTGAAAAATTTGAATTTCTCTCTTCCACAATGCAATGCACATATGCTCAGTAACATGCTCAGTGGTGAAAAATTTGAATTTCTCTCTTCCACAATGCAATGCACATATGCTCAGTAACATGCTCAGTGGTGAAAAATTTGAATTTCTCTCTTCACAATGCAATGCACATATGCTCAGGAACATGCTCAGTGGTGAA